GTCCAACCGTAGAGTTATTCACTACATATGATTTTCACGACAGCGCCAGAGCAACTGATCTACTAGTAATGAGTTTTTTCCCACATTCAACCGCCAGCACGGAATAGATCGCACTAGCTTCGCAAACCACCTTTTGATGTAGCGAATCCACCTTCGGGGCCTCCTCGAGCACGTCCCTTGCTTGTTTGCCGCCCCAACTGTCTCTTCCCGGTGAAGAGCCCTAGCTCCAAGGTTGTCGACAGCCGCGGACGGACTCGGGTCACACGACAACGAACGAACAGGTCTCGGGTCCTATTGTTTGTTTACCGGTCGCGTGGCACCGCAGACATGGTCAGACCCTATGTTGCTTCGAGAAGCGAGTCCCGCCGCCAGCCGTAGCCGTCCTAAAAAATAAAAATAAAGTAAAGCAAGGTGCGTGGGAAAGCAATCGGAAGCCAAAAGCACGGCAGCAGAAAGAGGCAAGATGTCGGACGCTCTGCCGAGTACGAGAGCACAAGGCGCTTCTGCTGAGCTGAAACAGGAGCGGGCAGCAGGCAGGCAATGTCCAAAGACACACGTCTTTCCCAGGCAATCAAGGACAGGTAGGTGTGACATGTTGCAAGACAAGAACAAGGACCAAAACAGGCCGGCTGGAGCAAGGTTGCATATTGTCCCTCACGAGACTGCAAACTACCGGTGGGAAAGAGAGGCAGTTGTATTATTTCTTGGCGACTCTAGCTTGCGGTATTGTGTCTCACCCACTACCACAATCTAAAATTAGCATTATGCCTGCCAACACTTGCACGGTGCTAAACTTGGCAGGTTATTCGGCATTGTGCGAATAGGCCATGCTAGATTCTCCTACACAACCATGCTGTCCGAGTTTTGGCAGTGCTGCATCTGCCTGAGTGTCATGACTGTCATTACTAGGCGGTGTAGAGAATGTCGCCTGTAACAGGTGAAGAGGTTATGGGTTATCCGGAACCAAAATACTCAGAGTTGAGCTTGAACGGCAACATAATGGACTGATCAGATTCGGCAGTCAGTCTTGTCAATCTTGAGAAGTCTTTCTCCCCAGGGACCAAGTCGGTGGTGCATTACAAGATGCGCTGCTTAGAAGGGTGCTTTTAGCCCGATGTTGAATATCTATAAGGAAGCATAAAGTTGCGAAAAATCATCGAACATAGAATGGTCTCGTCCTCCGTGGCGCAATTGGCTAGCGCGTCTGACTGTTATCGGTACCTGATCACACAGGTTGTCGAAGGCCATCAGGAGGTTGACAGTTCAAGCCTGTCCGGGGGAGCCATCTTTATTTTTGCTGTTCTTACTTTTGCTTGTGAAAGAAACCTGAGCTCATTTCCACACGACAATAACAATCTCTCTGTCCATCCTCGTGGTCTACCTCTTGTTGTCGTTAACTTTTTTTCCCTCGCTGCAGGTGCTCTATAGTACAAATAAATCTCCTCTACGGCCTTGTTGCCTTTGGCGCTCCACTTCTGATCGCGGGCATCGAGCACCATCTTAAATTAGAACAACCAGGATGGCGAGCACTTGCATGCGAACAGGGCTGTGTCTATGACGGGTAAGAATATCTCAAGGTGCCTAGGTCAGCCTGCCATGACGGCTATGCCGTTCTCTGTATTGGTTCAGGTTCTTGACGCTCGGGAGCGCGGTGGCTTACTGCCTGCCGCCAGAGAGCGTGACAGAATGTGGCAATGTCATGCATCCATTGGCGGCTTGCCGGCAAGGAGGAGGCGGGGGTAAAGCGTGGCGTTGGTGAGGAGGCGAGCGCGGATGGCCAGGGGTGGATGAATGAAGCCAACGGCACATGCGGAGCGGAGCGGGTCCTCGTTTGCGAGGAGAATGCCGACAATGGTGCTTGTTGGCGGCTTGTCGAGTCATGACAACAGCGCAAGACAATCCAAATGGCAAGCCTCCGAGATCGATCATGACGCCTTCTCGCGGCGTCTTCTTCTAAGCCGGCGCTGGTGCTCGAAGAAGGAGCGCGTGAGGTGGGAGAGAGGAGACTTGTGCTCGAATCACCATTGACCCGCGTCTGCAAGTCACAAATGAACCAAGGGCAAGCGCCGACGGGCGAATCAGCGGGCGGTGCCTGGCTGGGGGCCCCTGCGCCGGCGCAGCATGGAGAGGGGGGGCTTGGAGACGGCGCTGCTGAAGCGCCCGGGGCCCCTGCTCGCAATCACTGGCCAGGCCTCTTGCACCCGTCCGGGACTGTGCTCTGCCCCTGTAAGCGCTGACTGCAGTGTCGAGTCCCCCCCAAAGTCTCTCCCCTTTTGACCAGGCCGCAGTCTCGCCTCGACATCCTCACCTTCTCCTTCCCTTCCTTACGGTCTCTCATCGTCGCCCTCGCTGTCGCCCCCGTCGCCCTCTAGACTCTACGTCGCCCTTGTTGGTTCACAGAGCTTGTCTCTTGCCATACAGCCACTCCTTACCTTCTGCTTTCTCCCGGTCGTCGGCTTCACTCTCTCCAGTTGACCCATCCAGTCCTTTGCGACCCCCACGCAAACCACCTTCTTTGACGACGACTCTTCGACATTTAACGACACCGACATCAAGTTCAAAGAATCTTCAGCCTCGTCGCTATAATCATGTCCACTTTCAGCAGCTGGTCGGTCCTCGGTCGCCGCGACCTCTCCATGGAAGACTCGGACGCGACCCTCAACATGATGATTGCCTTTTTCGGCATCGCCTTTTTCACCCTCTGCCTTGCTTCCAGCCTCGTCATGCTGCGGCGCATCAGGATCCAGCGCCAGCTCATTGCTCAGGGGGGTCTGCCTCAGTACCAGGACCTTGAGCACCAGCAGGTTCGCAACATTAACCGCCTCAACATCCACACATCAGATGGCCACTCGAGCGTCCTCCTCATCAACGGCCGCCCTATGCTCTCGGACCCCAGCTCGCCGCCTCACTCGCCCAACAATGTGCCCGAAATCCACATCACCTTCCCCGATGAGCACGACGCCCAGGGCCGCCAGCAGCACGGCCGCGTCGTCGTCGTCCGTGTCGGCGATACGAGCATCGGTCTCGAGCCCTACAAGGAGGAGCAGCTGCCCGCTTACCAGAAGGAGAACGCCGGTGACTTCTATTCGATCGACATGAACCAGATCGGCGGACTCCGGGAGAAGGAGCGCACCCAGTCCTCATAGACGGGCTGCTACTCCACTTTGTTTCTCAGCGGGCGCACAACTCTTCCATTCATATGAGGCATTAGCGATAATCAGCTGAAACGACGGTCCATATACAGAGGCGCGCGGTATATACGTTGATGATCTTGATATGCTTAGACAAGTGGGCAGCATATAGTGCAGGTGGCACATAGATAGGGCAGATGGGCTAGCTGGAACCCTATGCACAGAGATGAAAAGCCACGCAGCAGTCCGGCTTGCCGAGATTTCTGTTGCCAGTCTTGTATATTCTAATTGTATATACTTAATCCGAGCTATTGACAACATTGATGCGGTTTTCAATTGCAGGCGGACCGGGACGGGAAGCATTCGCTACCTCTCAGGCTATGCCGTCTGTGCTGCTCGCTCTTTATAACTCTCTGAACCTATTGCCACCATTACCACTCATTTGCTCAAGGCTAACGACGAATTTTAACCCAAAATGTCATACATTTCGCCACGGGACTTGCTGGCTGAGATCTGCGATGAATCACCTATTCCCCAGTGATGCCAACCCTGGATGAACTTGTTCACAGTGGCTAGAATTGTGGTCCCGTTCCGGTTCCGAACAATACAATCATGGCTTGGGTTGCCGATCAGCTCTTGATTGGGGGGTAATATTTGCTGCATGGACCATAATCACGAAATAGATAGTGACTAACACATGGAATGCCACGCAGCTTGTCCACAAGGTACCGGGAGGACCACTGCAGCATATTGTTGATACCGAACAGCATTCTTGAGCTTGGGGACCCGCGGCTTCCCCAGGCCGACATCTGAGCCCGCAAATAACCGATTTGAAGCTTTCGTCAATAGCTACCAAGTCAGATCACTCCTAGCGACGACCGATTATCATTTGAAAGTGGCCGCACTTGAGCTCAAGATTAGGCTGCAAAACGAGTGCTCAAAGTTTGAGCAGAAACATTTGAACAAGGTAGACGACGGCGGGCCTCCAGCGTCTAAGGTCGCTATATACCTCGGAAATGTGGCTAGGGTGGCATCTCTACCTTTGACGTCTTGGCAGGTCGCGCTGGACATTCCCACACGTAAATCGCAGTCCAGCGGCAAGGCTATGACAATGAACTTGTATAGAACACACTTCGAAAGGACGCGCGTGCGGCGACTTCATGTTAAGCTCCCGGCCTGCAGCCATGGTGCCAAGCAAAATCGGAATCTTACCTCATTCCTGGGCTTCGATACCAAAAACAATAGTGTACTTACTTACTGAAAGGTAGCTCGTGTGCGAGCCCTTGTAGCTCTAAATGAGCGAGACGCCAAGAAATGCGATATCGTGCGGCTTGCATCTCCTCTCTAATCCCAACAGATGACTTTCTTGCTTATATAGCGTAACCAATGCATTGGGCCTCGTGCTGGTGATGTTTATATACTCGCCCACCATGGCTTTCTGTATGCCGTTACCTGCAACGGCGGCGTCGGCCTCCCCTCTTGGACGCTTGTTACCAGCTGAGACTTGGGAGTACTGCTGTTCATGTTGTTTTTACATATTTATTTTGTGACTACAGCCACCGAACCTCAGCAATCTACGAGCGGCAGCACGAGGGGCTCAGTATGCGCTGCCTTGACTACGTGTAGCAACTAGAGGGGGTTGACAACGAATAAATATACATAGATGCATGAGTAACGAGCTAGCTGAGTGGAACTCCAGCACTGGGAGCGGAATAATACTAGGGCGCTCAGGGTGCCTAGCACACCACCTTGTGTACTTGACGTGAGGAGAAGTGGACCGGGTGGCTCCAGGTCACCAAAAAGTACGCCGACACCAAGATCTGGTGTAAAGGTACCTCACCTCTGGTCGTCTGGCTAGACCAACAAAAATGCTGGCAACAGGGTTCGAACCTGTGCGGGCGCAAACCCATCAGAGGTTTTGAGAGATAGATGAGTTTATTTACTTGCTGCACCTAGACTTAAGTCTGACACCTTAACCACTCGGTCATACCAGCAGCTTGCATAGTGGGGATATGGGCCGTCCACTAGAGATACCCAAACCGCTCTTATTGGCCCTTATACTACCTCATGCAACCTCGTGCGCTGCGTAGCCTTTTGTATAATCGCAAGAACTGCTACGAGCGCTTCGTGTAATGCGATACGGGTCTTCTGAGAATATCGAGCGCATGCTAGTCAGTATTTGAGTGATTAGAACGTATACGAAGCGCGCAATGACGGTACAAGTCGATGGCCTAGAATGGAGCTAGACACTTGAAGTAGGGGACTCGACGAGAAATGTTTTTCGGGACGTTGCGCCATCCCATCAACATTGCGACCCCTTTTACTTACAAATAACTTCAGGATTCATTATTCTAGCTTGTAAATACCTGTTTTGGCTTTTTATAATAGACCGGAATTGCAGTAACACCGTCGCCAAGAGAAGTGTCCATCACGCAGCACATGTATTTTCCAGTCAGTGCTCGCAGATGTTACTACACGCGGGTTTTGGGATATTTCGTGGGCAAATATATCGGAAGCGACTTGCTGTAAGGTCTGTTTGGCCACATGGAGCTCGAAAGCAATATGGGCTGGAGAGTTGCCAAAAACTTTTAGATGGATTCTGGCCGAAGATCAAAGGGACGGGTCATTTATTTGGCATTTATCAGCAAAGAGGATGGACGAGACAAATTACCGAAGGAAGAGTATGCACCACCTGGCTGTACCATACATGTCTGCACATAGATTGCTTGTGGCAATGGGAAAGGCTAGTGGGAGATGGCCTGGACCAGATAAACTCGGCAGGCGTATCAAACACAATTTGGAGGCCACGGATGAACGAAAAACACAGTTGGGCATCATGGAAATTGGGTCATATTGAAGTGCCAGTTCGAGCAAGGCCTTTTGTAGTAACAAATAGTATTCAAGGACAAGCTTCCTATTGCAAATTATACATCACTAAGAGAGCCTTGGCTAGTCTTTACAGCTTGCTCATAGGGAAGCCAGATATGGCGAGTTACATTGAAGCAGGTGTCCTTAAGGCTACGTCGCTCTTTTCATGGAGGATTGCTGTGAATAGATATGTGCTTCACAATTACTGTCTATGGCTAATTTCGCACCCGGCACGGAGTCTCATCAGCAACTTGGGGCATCAAGCGTCAGGGCCTGCCGGAATTTAGTATGTTCGGAATTCGCAACGACCAGCTTACCAGGGATTGATGACATACCAATGAGAGATGCAATTCCATGACCACAAGCCGGTTAAAGGTTGGTTGCTTTGGCAGCACCTTCTTCGGGTTAGTCCTGCCCATCAGTTTCTACGCCTAATTGACCGTCGGAGTCAATGTGGTGTGTCTATTCGTGACAGCCTCGTAACAGCCTCGTTAAACTACTTTCTTAAAGTATCTCTATCATGAAAACACGCCAGATGCCGTGAATATCTCCGATTCGATGTTCCTTGTAACTTCAATCATGAAACAGCTTAATTTTACTTCTATTCCTGTTTGTCATCATGTGGTGTGCTTCATTCTGTAATCAGCTTACGCAACCAATACCGGGCCGCTCTGTTTTTAGGTTTAGAAAGCAGGATACGTAATCTGTCGAGCAAGCAAAGCCTCACTACTCGTAGAGAATAAATAGTTTGGGAACGAAAATAGAAATGCAACCTATTATGGTGTGCTTCAGATGTCTGGAGTGGAATACCACAATCGAACTCATCACATCGAATTTCTGGGTAACGCAGACATAAGGGTTGTCATGAGGTCAAGATAGGAGCACGCATGGGAATCGTGCAGAGCTCGTAGAAGGGGATTTCTTTTGCATTATCAAAATGAGATTAGCATGGAGCATGGCCACAATCACAACCTCTTGAGACGTCACAACATGGTATCACATCACGCCACAACAACATCGGACTACATGACAACAACGATAGCGACATCATGAACAACAGAAATAAAGAGAATGGGTTTCTGGCAAGATCACCAGATTACATTTAGTTCTCAATATCTCAACTTGGCGCAATACTGGCAGTTGTGTTGACAGATCAGCCACATAAACGCGTGTGTGATTTGGGTCGCCTAGCGGCGATATTCATTTGTTGGGTGCTCTGGTCTGAAAATCGGGGAAGAAGGGGCGCTGGTCCTCCAAAAAGAAGTAGTAATAAGCTTGCCTCCTGCCTTCATGTGGCCTCATTCACCTCGGAACGCCGCATCAAGTGCTGCGATGTCCATCTTCTTCATCTTCATCATCGCCTGCGTCACTCTTGCAGCGCCGTCATGGTCACCACTCGCCAGATACTTCTTGAGCACCACGGGCACGATTTGCCAAGCGACCCCGAACTTGTCAGCTAGCCAGCCGCAGCGCTGGCGGCCCTCGTCCCCGCCCTCGCCGAGCTTGCCCCAGTACTCGTCGAGCTCGGCTTGCGTGTCGCAGTCGATCTGGAAGCTCACGGCCTCGCTGTGCTTGAACATGGGCCCGCCGTTGAGGCCCACGAATCGCTGGCCGAGCATCTCCCACTCGATTATCATGAGGGACCCGGGCTTCTGGCCATGCGAGTCAGACCCTGCCTCCGTGTAGGCGACGTCGGTGATTATCTTGGAGCCCTTGAAGATGCCGGTGTAGAACTTGGCGGCCTCTTCGGCTTGCCCATCAAACCACAGGCATGTTGTAAGTGAAGTGACCGGCATGTCGGTGGCGGGGAAGATGGGGAGCAAGATTCGAATTAGTCCTGGCTCGTGTGTGTGCTTGATCTTTGGAGTGCTTGTGAGGATGGAGAGTAACAAATATTCCAGGGGCGTGGTTGGACACGAAGCTGTTCACATAAGACTGGCCGTGCTCAAGACATGCAGTCACCCTGAGCTGAAAAGCAATGCCCGCCACACTTGTGCACATGCTCCCACCCGGCACGGTTGCCTGGAATCACTCGATCACGTTCGAGGTTGCAGCAGCTTCGAACCAATGTGAGTTTTTACAGACTTAGTACGTTTTCAAGGTGCGAGAGATAGTATCGGCGTGTCACCACTTTGCGGAGCTCTACAACACCTATATGTTATGGCCAAGACTCACTCTCTGATTCACAAACATTGCATCGTAGAAAAGTAGCTGGTGTTTCCGCCAACCACTGAGCTTTCGGGATTGGCGAACAAGGTTATTGCTGTGCTGGCTGTGTATTATTTGGAATACTGGCCGGACCGCTGAAACCGCTGAACCTCTGGACGTTCCTTTGCGTGTGCCTACAAGAAATCGTCCCAAGTTGTGAGAGTTTGTGGTACGCGGAACCCAGTAACCACACGGCAAGGCAAATGGCGGGGCATCGCGTGGAAGCTTGACACAGGTCCCCACCTGCACCACAAAGTGCCAACCTGACTTGCAGCCACGAGACAGACTTCTGAGATCTGGACACCCGGAGGAGCTGCCGCCCAGTGCACCAAAAAGTAGCCCTCCACCTTTTGCTTCACTACTTGTTTGCCATCTTCTTGGTCACTTGGATACCAGACTTTCTCCTTCGCGCCGACACTCCTTGCCATGGTTTGACTAATATACCGGCACTTCCAACTTCTTTCACCACTCTTGTCCCAGCTCAATGGCTTGCCCCGGCCCCTAGACAACCATCATTAGACCGCGACGCGACGACCCCAATCCCAGATCGACAACGACGACAACCACCGCCCCCCTGCGACAATGGCGCCAAAAGCCACGGCTCCAACCCCTGCCAAGGGCTCGAATCCCGAATACAACGCCATTGCTGCTCAGTGGGCTAAGGCGAAGAAGGCCAAGGAGGCTGAAGATGCTGCAAAGCGCCAGCAACCGGCTCAGCGCAAGCCTACCGCCGCCGAGGCTGAGCGAGCCACCCTCGAGCGCCAACGGAAAACAGCTTTCGAGGGCAGGGCATTCTGGACTGTAGCCTTCTGGATATGGATGCTCTGTATACACGCCATTGGCATCCTGCTCTTCACCAACGGCTTCCTCCTCACACGGCTTGTCCTTGATGAGCGATCCGAATGCGCAAAGCCTCCGGTCCAACCAGTGGGTGCTTGGCCGGCCCAGGGCACTGTCGACGGCGGATGCTGGCATCCGCGGACTTTCCGCAAGGCTGTCGTCGTCATCATCGACGCTCTGCGCTACGACTTCACCATCCCGGTCGAAGACGCCTCCCAGGCTGAAATCTATCACAATGCACTACCTTTTCTCTACGAGACGGCAGTCAAGTCACCGCAAAACTCCTTCTTGCTTCCCTTCATCGCCGACCCGCCGACTTCTACACTTCAGCGGCTCCGTGGCCTGACGACTGGTACGCTGCCCACCTTCATCGACATTGGCTCGAACTTTGCTGGCACCGCGGTGGAAGAGGACAACCTTTTGATGCAGTTCAGAGAGCAGGGCCAACGAATGGTGCACCTTGGCGACGACACGTGGACCGCCTTGTTCCCAGATTATTTCGAGGCCAATATCAGCCGCGCTTACGACAGCCTCAACGTCTGGGATCTGCACACTGTCGACAATGGAGTGATTGATCACATCTTCCCTCTACTGAAGCCGGACCAGAGCGGGAAATGGGACATTCTCTTTGGACATCTGCTTGGTGTTGACCACGCGGGGCATCGCTACGGACCGAATCATCCTGCAATGACTGCCAAGCTGCAGCAGATGGATGGCTTTGTTCGTGATCTCGCTGAGTCGATCGATGATGATACATTGCTAGTCATCATGGGAGACCACGGCATGGATAGCAAGGGGGACCACGGAGGTGAGAGCGACGATGAAGTCCAGGCTGCCCTGTGGATGTACTCGAAGAAGCCGGTCTTTGGCCGCACTTCTCCTGACCACAGCAAGCCGCCGCCGAACGCCAAGGTCAGACCCGTCAACCAAATCGATCTGGTACCCACTCTGGCGCTGCTTATGGGTATTCCTGTACCTTACAACAACCTTGGCCGACCAATCGAGGAGGCGTTCATCGGAGCAAAGGGCAACGCATGGGACATGCTCGCAGCTGCCTCAAGCGTGGTCTCCGCCGGCA